GGTCGGGCCGGCGGGGTGAAGTCCCGGCCCTGCGCAATTTGCAAACATGAGCCTGAGTAAGTTATGATGACTAAATTAAACCCTAAAATAATAATAAAGTGCCCGGCTTTATTTTAGCGAACTGGTTTTACCAGCTTTGTGCTACAAATGTTAATTATTAATAACTTTGGCACTATAATTTTTTTTCCTGCACAAAGTCCACGTCTTGGCAGAAGATGTGCCGGCAACCACCGGTACAAAAAGGATTAGTGTGGAGAGATGAAGGCTGGTGAAAGACTAGGAGGATGATGCCCAGAGAGCTCTCGCAAAGGGCGAGGAGGCACCTTCCCCACGCAGGGGGGATCACAACGCCGCTGCCAGTTCCCAACCGTGGTTTTTATCCAGGGCTTATGCACTCAAGCTCTTTGACCACCACTTCAGGAATTAGCGTCCAAACCTGGTTTTAGGTCTAAGCCTCCCTTCTAGCTTAGTCTCAGGAGAAAGCTCCTGATGTGGAAACCTGCAGGTCTCCGGCCAGGTTTCCCCCATCACTTGTTTTTCTTTCGTTTCCTGTTGGTGTAAATGTTAACTTACGGATCTCCTAAGCAATGCAGTACTTTCCAGGTCCAAATTTCAAGCTCAGAATCACTTGATGCCAACATCAAAATTCAAATTACATCCCTTATTAGAAACAGGAGAACAAGAAAGCTTCAAAAGCAGATAGGTGGTCTGATCTCTTTCAAATAAATGGCAGAACTTTGCCGGTTCCAGGAAGGGAAGGCTTGAATAACGTGGACTGAAATAGTACAGGTTGCTTTCACAATCTTCCATTAAAATAGACTTGGTCACAATGTTTCTGGGTAATTCAGATGGACACGTGCGAGGTACGTGTAAGTTCATGTTAAAAAGATGTGGCCCGCTTACATCGAGTCTTGATTTTGAAATGTGTGAATGTTGGCAGAGTGCTTAAAAAAGTGTATGTTTGCAGGCATCGATAAGTTCAGTGCCACCTGCTTTTGCACATCCCGCATAAACATTCTTTTTCACGAATTAAGCACAAGGCAAAAAGTTTTCTTTTCCTCCCTTAAATGAAAGGGAATGTGATTTAATGGTCCTGAGTGTGGAAATTAGATGCATTAAATTTGCAACTGCTCACAGCTGATTCTTTCTCAGCCTACGTAACAACATAGATGTTGTTTTCTTAAGGCAGATTTGTTTTAATATGCCTTCTCTCGCCAGCTGACCATTTCTCCAAGTCTCAGTTTTCTCCAAATTTCCCAATTTTCTCTGAAACTTTCCTTCCACTAACTCAGAACACAGCATGTTTCTGTGCTGTTCAAAGCTGATTTTAGGGATTGCTTAATTCAGATAGAAAATTGCACAGAATTTGTGTCCCTCTTGCCTTGGGACATGCAATGACATTTTTCCAGACTATGCTGTGCTTGGAGAGAAAGACGTCTGCTGCGGCACTCGCCATGCCGGACTGCTGTGGCCTCTGTGCGTTTCTCTCCCTCCCTGGGTAGAAGGAAGAGGTTTCTTCCACATCTACCACATCTTCTTGCAAGAGCAGGGTTGCCCTAGCCTTGCCACAGGTGCTCTTCACCTATTTTTGGGAAAAGAAGAATTATTACCCGATGCTCAAAACTCTTAAAAATGGCCAGTCCAAGCAGTAATTCACTGCAAGTGCAGGGCAGAGTAAAATGACTGCTTAAGAAGGCTGATCATGAGGAAGCCTTAGTGGCTAGCCTGAGCTGGTGCTAAACTGATCACCTGGGAGTATAAACCCCGAAAGACAGAAAAGAGCCAAGGTGATAAAAGAGCACAGGTTTTTGGAGCAGAGACAGTCATCAGGAAATGGCATCCCACATTAAAAACATTAAGAACATCAACAACAAGAAAAAAAAACAGCCGAGCTGATTGTGCCTGAAACAAAGACCAACCTGTTTATCTTGATATGTTTACTTTAAAGCCTAAGTTTGTAACTCGATTTTCAATGAACTGCCTCTCAGGAACCACAATGTGCAGCTTATCCCCTTTGATTTGGTTGTCTGTGACAGCCGCTGATGGAATCAGGGACTGCAGACTTTAGGAAAGATTGCGTCACGGCGTCGTTGGGGTCAGGCAACAGGATGCTTTCCTGGCATCTTTGGGATTGTGCTTTGTTATCTTCTCGGCGTGCCGCAGCAGATAGCCTACAGGGCCAGGAGCTGCCAGGCCCCTTGCTCCAGCGCTGGCGTAACATAACAGAAGGA